GGAGAAATGTAAAGACCTTTTTGTAAAGACTACAAAACCCCTCAGTTTCGGAAAAAAAAAACAATTAAAAAGGAAATGATGGGAAAACAAAAAAACATTCATAGTTTCATTCACAGTCTTTCTTTGACTGTCACTGGAAGTGTACTGCTGGCCATTTTGGCAAAAGAGAATCGAGCAGGATGAAAACATCACCCCCAAAATTCACCCAAAAGACACATCACTAGCACAGAAGATGAAATGCAGACAGGTTTACCCACCACATATTAAAAACTGTGCTTCTGATATGCATGGAGAAATGGAAGCTTATTACATTCAATTGTTTCCCATATTTCAAAAAGTACTCACAGCACATTCTTTGCCTATGAGTGCCTACAAGTATCCAACAAAACAGACCTTGCATCATGTGACACATAGGCATGAGTAGGCAGAGTGTCAGAGACGATGTATAAGTGTGTATGAGAAGGTCCTAACACAGACTAAGTGGCCAACAGCTACAGATACACACAACAGCACACAGTCAGGCAGTTAGAAGTTCCCCAAGGTTGCATTGTCCCAGATATCATGTTTGTCACTCCTGCTTGTCCAAGACACCAAAAGACTCACCAAGAAACTGGAGAGCATTGAAGCAGTCTGTGCTCCAAGTTGGAAAATGAGGCTTGATGTCAAGATCTGTACAAGAGTGGGAAACTGTGGCTCCTGAGATGTTTTTGGCTAGATCTCTCCTAATTCCTTTCCAGATGTGATGTTGGCTGAAGCTAATAAGAGCCGCATGCCAAAAACACCTAGAGCAGCACTTCTCAACTTGAGGGTAGGGACCCCTGGGGGGAGTTGCAAGTGGGTGTCAGAGGGATCGCCAAAGACCATCAGAAAACACAGTATTTTATTTTGGTCATGGGGTTCTGTGTGGGAAGTTTGGCCCAATTCTATCATTAGTGAGGTTCAGAATGCTTTTTGATTGTAGGTGAACTATAAATCCCAGCAACCTCGAGTCCTAAATGTCAAGGTCTATTTTCCCCAAACTCTGCCAGTATTCACTTTTGGGCATATTGATTATCCTTACCAAGTTTGGTCTAGATCAAAGTCCACAGTGCTCTCTGGATGTAGGTGAACTACAACTCCTAAACTCTAGGTCAATGTCCTTCAAACCATTCCAGTATTTTCTGTTGGTCATGGGAGTTCTGTGTGCCAAGACTGGTTCAATTCCATCGTTGGTGGAGTTCACAATGCTCTTTGTAAGTGAACTATAAATCCCAGCAACTACAACTCCCCAATGACAAAATCAATCCCCCCCCCCCAACCCCACCTGCATTCAAATTTGGGCATATCCAGAATTTGTGCCAAATTTGGTCCAGTGAATGAAAGTACATCCTGCATATCAGATATTTACATTATGATTCATAAGAGTAGCAAAATTACAATTATGAAGTAACAACAAAAATAAAGTTATGGTTGGGGTCACCACAACATGAGGAACAGTATTAAGAGGTTGTGACATTAGGAAGGTTGTGAACCACTGGCCTAGAGGGTCATACTTGACCAATTACAATAACGTTTACTTAATTTCTGGCAGTATGGCTGATTTGGACCTGTCCATGGTTCTGTAGACCATATTCTGGAACTTCTTGATCAAGAGGGTCATTATCCTCAGCTGTCTTTTACCACTCTCTCCTTGCTTCTTCTTCTTTCTGTTTTCTACTCTTTCTGTGCAGCTTCATCCTGCTCCCAATGGACTTTAACCTGTCTTTGGAAGCCTCAAACAGCCAACGCATGACAATGATAAACAACTGAAACAAATACTTTGAGTGGAGTTAGAATGGGAGGGGAAGAATAAATTGATGACTATTCATGACATCCGGCTTCATGGAGTCTTTTTAGATTTTCTTTCTTTGTCTCCCTCTGTGCTTTAGAAATGAACAGTATGTATGTCTTGTTGAGAGTCAAGATGACAGCCCCCATGATAATTGTGCCGTTTCTTGGAAACTGGATCTTCCTTACAAATTGTGCTGTCGAGTTCTGGCAAATGTAATTTCCTGTATGGGAACTGCAATTATAATAATTCATGTATCTATTTATTGACTTAAATATTTCTATCCTGCTTTTCGCCCTGAAGGCGAATCAAAACAGCCCCGGGAGCATCGTTTCAAAATCAAGAGAATAAGAAAAAAGCCAGACACCCATTAAAGCAAACAAATCCAAACTAAAGAACTAGCAACCAGTATCACAATAACAGAGGAGGGGTGCGGAAAGGGAGGCAGAGGATCGAAGAGAAGACAAAAAAATGAAATGAAATCAAAATCACAGTGGGGGGGAGGGGGGAAACTTAGTACGGTAATGGGTAAATAAATATGTCAAGGAAAAAAGTGGGCTAGCAGGACCACATGGAATATGAGCATCCCAATAGCCAACACATGTTAAAGGACTGTGTTCTGAACTTCTGGTGGCAATAGGATGAGAAGAACCACCTGAGTTTCTGGTGGCAAAAGGAGGAAACAAATCCTCGACCAGCAAACGTGGTGCCTGGGCAGGTTTATATGGGTAAAGGACAACTGCCAATGTTGCAGACTTATACTGCTTAGGGCTTTGAAGCTGATGACTAAAAGTTAGTGCACTTGCAAATGGGCTGGAAGCTATTGAAAACCAATTGCATGCTCTCTAGAATGGGCACTCAGCCAAAACTTTAGCTACTGTATTTTCATGCCTCTTGAAGTCCACCACAAAGGTGCAATTGCTATTGTGTGTGGATTATGACATCATAATGATGGCTTATTAGGTATAGAATCTTTGAGAAATACTAATGTGTCAGGCATACTATCATTGTCAGGTATCTCAAAAGTTTTTCTCAAAAGGGAAATATTTATTTTGTTTGGGTTGACTTGTTTGTTTTGTTTTTTGCTATAATCTTTTGACAGGATTTGCACACTTGCTTTCTTCTTGGTGCCACAGTGCAGAAGCAAGGGCATGTCCTAAGAGTAAGATTACCTCTAGAGTTACTCCCACTACAATGGGCATTTCATTCCAATAGCAATGGGGATATCCTACTACTGGTGGCAGAAAAAGGATAGTGTGGTAGGTCTGGAGAACAAGCCCTATGAGGAGCAGCTTAAAGAGCTGGGCATGTTTAGCCTGAAGAAGAGAAGGCTGGGAGGAGACATGACAGCCATGTGAGGGGAAGTCATAGGGAGGAGGGAGCAAGCTTATTTTATGCTGCCCTGGAGACTAGGATGCAGAACAATGACTTCAAACTACAGGAAAAGAGATTCCACCTGAACATTAGGAAGAACTTCCTAACTGTGAGAGCTGTTCAGCAGTGGAACTCTCTGTCCCGGACTGTGGTGGAGGCTCCTTCTTTGGAGGCTTTTAAGCAGAGGATGGATGGCCATCTGTCAGGGGTGCTTTGAATGCAATTTTCCTGTTTTTTGGCAGAAGATTGGACTCTTCCAACACTATGATTCTATGTTTCTTCTGGATCTCAGTCAATTTAACATTTTAATCTAACATTTCAGTTGAACATGGATATATTGTACAGCTAAGGCCCCTTTCACACAGCTGAATAAAATCCCACATTATCTGTTTTGAACTGGAATATATGGCAGATAACCCAGTTCAAACTAGATATTGTGGGATTTTCTGCCTTAATATTCTGGGTTTTATGGCTCTGTGGAAGGGCCCTAAAACACATCTAGAAGCCTATTTCAGCAGAATCCCCATCCTACCTCCTCAGAACTAAATCCTATTAAATTGAGCGTGCTTTATACCCATTTGTGTATGTATAGGATTGAAGCCCAAGTTTGCTATATTTGTTGGTTTTACAAAGGTAGATTAGGGGCCCTTCCACACAGCCCTATATCCCAGAACATGAAGGCAGAAAATCCCACAATATCTGCTTTGAACTGGGTTATCTGAGTCCACATTGCCATATCTGAGTCCACACTGCCAGTTCAAAGCAGATATTGTGGGATTTTCTGCCTTCATATTCTGGGATATAGGGCTGTGTAGAAGGGATCCTAATCTACCTTTGCTCTGGCAATTGTAATTTCCTGTGGGATTTTCTACCTTGATATTCTGGAATATAGGGCTGTGTAGAAGAGCCCTAGGAAACACTTCGATATTAAACCAGTACTTTGCCCTAATTAGTTAGAGGAAAGTAGATAATGAACTATCTACAATACACTCTTTTTCATCCTGAACAAGACAACACGTGTGACACCATGGCTTGAAAAATACAACTCAAATATGGAAGTGAGTTGGTTTTTCAAGTCAGATTTAAAACATTTGTTGTCCATTCATCATTATAAAGACAGACTCTGAAATGAGAAGCCAGGATGTGCACAAAATAAATATCTGCTATTGTTCTCATTTAGGTTGCAAATACAGCTCCCTCCTTAGTTAACTTCCACACTTTGTTAACTTTCTACTGAAATCATATTGGAAGTTATGGAAGAAGTTTAACGCTGAGTGTGTATGCTCGTGTACAGATAATAAAGTTCTTGAAAACAGATATTTTTACAAAGCAGATAATATAATTTTACAATTATTTTTCTACACTTAAACAATTTGAATCTCCCTATAATTACAGTTCCTTGATGTGCTTTTTTAAAAAACAAACATTTAGCACTAATTCTGTGATCTACTCCTCTACAAATATAGAAGCCACAAACTCCTCTAAAACTTTGCATTCACATCCATATCTCTGCACTCCAACATTATTCCAGTCAAGCATGCATTCAGAGACGCATTCCAAATCTCATGCTCTCCTGAGAGCATTAATATGCTGTCAAGAGTCCTCTTGTCATTTATCACAGGCGCTTGTAAAACCAAAGCTTGCGTGAGAATGACACTGCTCATATTTCCAGGCTGCCTCACAGAAGGCAGCAACATTCAGAGTCTAATGAGAGTGCAATCCCACCAACACAACATAGAAAAGAAAAAGAAACCAAATTAATTCAAAGGCAATCAGGTCAAGACAGGAGTGGCACATAAAGAAGGAGTGGGAAAAGTACCTTCTGAATCCTTCCATCAATATCCAAATAAACATACTTGGGCCGGTATGTGGAAGAGCTGGATCCCATCCTTCCAAAGACTTGCCTCTATTCAGACTTTGTGGTAGTTTTCCTAGGTTAACTCTACAGCAGGAAAATGGTCAGGATGGGTAACCGGAGCAGAGCCGCTACTCTGGCTGATGCATGCGCTGCTTTGCTCTCCTCCATTCCCCAGCCGCAAGCTGCCACAGTCCCTCCTCTGACATGCCTGCATTTCTCCCTGCCACCTCCTTTTCATTTTCCCCTCTTCATTCCTGTGACTCCAGCAACCCTGGATGGGAGAGAGCCAAGCCCTGGATCCTGTCTCCAAGTGCCCTCTTGATTCCCATAGCAACTCTCTTTGGCTTCAGAGCCGGGAGCCTCCGGGCAATCGATGTGCAATGCCTGCCGTGTGCGGAAAAGGAGGGTTTGATTAGCTGTGCTTGACACAGAAGACAAAACAGCACTTAGCACTGGGGAAATTAACGGCATTTATCCCACAGTTACTGTCAGTAATCTTGATTGTAACATTTCATCAGCCATCCTTTGAGAAGCCTGTCTACACAGTTTTTCAATGCCTGACAAAACTGCCAGCTGCACTGGCAGCTGAAGTGGATTTTTGAAAAGAGGGGTGGGCATTGTGTCCTGGGAGCTGGCATTTTCCTACCGAAATCAAAACAATTTGTTTGATGCACACTGGATGACTTTAAACTTTTCTCTCCTAAAAAAATCCAAAAGGGTTGTTTTTTTTTTTTGGTAAAAACACATATTCAGCAAAATGAATCACAGAATCAGAGTTGGAAGAGATCACAAGGGCCATCTAGTCCAACCCCATTCTGCTATGCAGACATGCACAATCAAAGCACTCCCAACAGATGGCCATCCAGCCTCTGCTTAAAACTCTCCAGGAAGGAGACTCCACCACACTTCAATGGAACATATTCCACTGTTGAGCAGATCTTATTGTCAATGTCTTCCTAATATTTAGGTACAATCGCTTTTCCTGCAATTTGAATTCATTGTTCCATGTCCAAGTCTCTAAAGCAGTGGTTCTCAACCTTCCTAATGCCACAACCCCTTAATACAGTTCCTCATGTTGTGGTGACCCCCACAACATGAGGAAATTATTTTTGTTGCTACTTATTAACTGTAGTTTTACTGCTGTTATGAATCGTAATGTAAATGTCTAATATGCAGGATGTATTTTCATTCACTGGACCAAATTTGACACAAATACCGATACACCTAATTTTGAATACTAGTGAGGTTAGGCGGGATTTATTTTGTCATTTGGGAGTTGTTGCTGCTGGGATTTATAGTTCACTTGTAATCAAAGAGTATTCTGAACTCCAACAACAATGCAATTGAACCAAACTTGGCACACAGGTCTCCCATGACCAACAGAAAATACTGGAAGGGTTTGGAGGGCATCGACTTTGAGTTTTAAGTTTTAATTCACTTAGTAGTTCTACCTACAAGCACTGTGAAACAATTATTGATCTGGACCAAACTTGGGACGAATATTCAAAACACCCAAATGTGAACACTGTTGGAGTTTGGGGAAAATAGACCTTGACATTTGGGAGTTGTAGTTGCTGGGATTTATAGTTCACCTACAATCAAAGAGCATTCTGAGCCCCACCAATGATAGAATTGGGCTGGACTTCCTACCCAGAACCCCATGGCCAACAGAATAAATAAAAATACTGTGTTTTCTGATGGTCTTTGGTGACCCCTCTGCCACCCCGCCCCCCTCATGACCCCCAGGTTGAGAAGCACTACTCCAGAGGAGCAGAAAACAATGCTCTGAGGAACTATAACTGCTTGTTTTGTGGCTGTAGCTCTGGGTCCTAAAACCATTAACCTTATGCAAAATAAAAGCTAATGATGTACTGGTGTCTTATAATTTATTCCACAAAAATATTTAAAGTGAAGATAATGCCTTATTCTTTTCTTCATATAAATTCTAGGGATCGTTTATTGAATGTCACATGCAAGGAAAATAATGTGTTGTTTTTGGCATATAGAATGCACTAGTAAAGTTAAAGGTTTCCCCTTGACATTAAGTCTAGTTGTGTCCAACTCTTGGGTGTGTGTGTGTGTGTTCATCTCCATTTCTAAGCTAAAGAGCTAGCGTTGTCCGTAGATGCCTCCTAGGTCATGTGGCCAGCATGACTGCATGGAGTGCCGTTACCTTTCCGCCAAAGCAGTACCTATTGATCTACTCACATTTGCATTTTTGAACTGCTAGGTTGGCAGAAGCTGGGGCTAACAATGGGAGCTCACCCCATCTGTGGATTTGGACCACAAACCTTCTGATCAGCAAGTTTTGCAGTTTAGCAGTTTAACCCACTGTGCCACCGCAGCCCCTATAAAATGCACTGCTGTAGGACTAATTATAGACTTGACTTCTAGTAGAACAAGTTGGCTTGAAAAAAGATTTTGCATACAGTGAGTACTTGGTATCCGCTGAGGTTTGGATACCAAAATCCAGAGATACTCAAGTCCTATTATATACAGTGATATTAAAAAATGGAAAACCAAGATTCAAGCTGTGGATGGTTGAATCTGTGGTTGCAAAATCTGTGGATATGGACAGCCAACTGTATTCAATTACATGCCAGTTTTATAGTCTGAGTGAAATCACAGAAGGTAATTCTGATATATTTTTGAGTGACAGCCACCTTTTGACTCCAATCATTCAAAGCATTAAGGAATTGTGTACCAGATTATTTGAGACTTATTTTTAGACATACTGATTGCAACCTTAACTCGCTTTACTGTGGATTGAATTGGAAAACACAGAATCTGAGAAAATATACTTCTCCAATGAACATTTATTGATTTACACCTCACCTTTCCTCTGAAAAAAGGAATTTACATTTTTTTAAATGAGGCAGAGATAAAAAAACTGCAAGCTAATTATAATCTTAAAGCAAAATTAAACGTAATACATTGAAAATAAATTTGAAGTAAAAGCAATGAAAAGTAATAAAGTAATAAAGTAATAAAGAAACTGTAACAACCACACATTAAGCCCCTCTTTCCTTAGCAACAAGCTGATTGCCAAAATCCTGCCTGAAAAAAAGGCTTTGCCTGGAGGCAAAAAGACAACATGAATGGGACCAGAAATCTTTTTCTTTTTTTGTTGCATCTTAAATCATTGTGTTGGCCTCTCCTTTCCAACTTGATAAGTGTGTGTGCACATTTGAGTTTCCTACAACTTATGTTGAGTTGCCTACAACCCCATGTTTCCTTAGGCAAGGAGGTCTCCTCCAGATATTTTGAATTCTATGTTCCATCTAACGCAATTCTTGTCAATACTATCTAGGAGTAATAGACTAAAATGTCTTGAAGGCACCAGGTGCTTGTAGAAGCACAGCACTTTCATCCCATGCTCTTGTTCCTTAGCTATAATTTACATGGTCCCATTCCTTTGTCTTGTTTACAGTCTAGCCATGTCTTAGGATAGTTGTCACCATACGTAAGCTGCCCCAAGTCCCTTCAGGGAGATGGAGGCAGTGTACAAAAATGAAGTTATTACTGTATTGTCGAAGGCTTTCATGGCCGGAATCACTGGGTTGTTGTAGGTTTTTCTGGGCTAAATGGCCATGTTATAAAAATTGCCTCCAGAACATGGCGATATAGCCCAGAAAAACCTACAACAACCCAAAGTTATTACTATTATTATTAAGCTGTTCGTAAGGCATGATGTTATAGATATTTTATAAAGGTAATTTGTCTTGGATTCCCTTATTTGAAAAACAAACAAAAAATTATCCTAGAGCAGAGTTTCTCATCCTGGAGGTCGGAACCCCTGGAGGGGTCGCAAGGAGGTGTCAAAGGGGTCACCAAAGACCATCAGAAAACACAGTATTTTCTGTTGGCTATGTGGGTTCCATGTGTGAAGTTTGGCCCAATTCTATCGTTGGTGGGGTTCAGAATGCTCTTTCATTGAAAGAGAACTGTACACGCCAACAACTACAACTTTCAAATGTCAAGGTCTATTTTCCCCAAACACCACCAGTGTTCACGATTGGGTATATTGAATACTTGTGCCAAGTTTGGTCCAGATCCATCATTGTTTGAGTCCACAGTGCTCTCTGGATGTAGGTGACCTACAACTCCAAAATTCAAAGTCAATGCCCACCAAACCCTTCCAATATTTTCTACTGGTCATGGGAATTCTGTATGCCAAGATTTGTTCAATTCTATCGGTGGAGTTCAGAATGCTCTTTGATTGTAGGTGAACTATAAATCCCAACAACTACAATTCCCAAATGACAAAATAACCCCCCCCCCCAACCCCACCAGTATTCAAATTTGGGCATATTGGGTATTCTTGCCAAATTTGGTCCAATGAATGAAAATACATCCTGCATCTCAGATGTTTACATTACGATTCATAACAGTAGCAAAATTACAATTATGAAGAAGCAACTAAAGTAATGTTGTAGTTGGGGGTCACCACAACATGAGGAACTGTATTAAGGGGTTGTGGCATTGGGAAGGTTGAAAACCACTGTCCTAGAGGGGTTTGTTGCTGTTCCTGCTGTTCTTGAAATATATTGGATTTTCTTTCCCAAGAAAGATTGGAGTAGACACAAATATAGATTGTGATAAAGATTTCTCATGGTCTACTGGAGTAGGACTCTAGGAGACCAAAGTCTGAATCTGTGCTTCGTTTTAGAAACCCTCTGGATGATTTTGTGTAAATCACATTCTCTCTGCCACAGAGGAAGGTAACGGCAACCCCCTCTGAATGAATTTCATCAAGAAAGGCCCGGAGTAATGTTGCTTTAGGGTTGCCATAATTCAAAAATAGCTTGAAGGCACACAGCAATAAGCCTAAAGGACTGAAAAAAGTCCTAGAGTCTTCATGTAGAAAGATAAGTAGATGAAACATTTTGATATTCTTTACTATCTCAAATAAATCTGAAATAATTCAGGATAATCTGACATTTTGGGAAGCACAGGTATGAGTACTTACGTCTACTTTATTGAAAGTGTATGACTTGAAGCCATATGTGTGTTTCTTTTTTAAAATAACAAGTCTAGTACATCTGTCATAGTAACAGAACTGAAGAATGGGAGAAGTGTGTGTATGTCTGTGGGTGTAGATTAGCTATTATTATGTCCAAGTAAGATCCACTAAATTATGTAGTAAATGGACACAAGGTTGTGTCTAAGTATTAGCAATGCTCTCCCAACTTGTCTCCAAAGTAAATTTAGATTTAATTGGGAGTATGTTATGTAAAGGCTCACTATAAAATGTACATTGATAGCTGAATGACAGTTTGCACCATTTATTTTGACATATGTCCAATATCTTTTTACATTAAAGCACAGTTATAAGTGAGCGGCAAATGGCAAACAGAACAAGTCTCCCATCTCTGCTTTGATTCATTTAAAGAAAATATTAAAGGTTTGCAATCATCATAGATCCCCATGAAGCTGTCACAACAGGGAGTTATACAAAACTTCAAAAGGCTGAGCTTGGGAGGACAGAAAAGAAATGAGTTGCTGAAGCAATTAAATTGGATCTATATTA